TAGCATTCATCTGGACATAGTTTACATAAATTTTATACGTATCTAATATTATTGTACATACATTTATTTACAATAAAGTTAATTACAGTATTAACGCGTTACATAATTTATACGTGTATAGAATTTTACAAAAAAAATTAATTTCAGAGTAGCTGAAAATTTAATAAAATTTGAAATTAATTTGATTTATTTTTATATTCGATAATTGGAACGGGATTTTGATAATTAAATAAAACTTAAAATTAATTTAAAATTTTATTCAATTTTTAATCTCCCTCATTTCTAATTATTAAATGTATATATATATGATGTGTTTAGTCCTACCTGTCTATATTTATCGTGTTTATCCTACCTATGTAGATCCTACTTATCGTCCATACTTATTGTCCTACCTATCTGTATATTTTCATTTATTTATGTCTATTCGCGGATACCCACCCGTATATTCCTACCTACATTACTTTATAAATGTGCAATAACACCGCGAATATATAATATGTGTTAATAGCTGCGTTCAAAGAAAGTAGATTTTCGATTGTTGTAAAATTCTTCAATACGATTGGTTCTTGCTTTTGGTTCCTTATGATGGATTTAAATGTATAAACCAATTACATAAAAGAATTTTACAACAGTTGCAAAGTTGCTTTCTCTGCTAAACGCAGCTAATGTCTAATCATATATCCTATCGGGTATAATAAACTCACTGGGATAACTTAATCGCGATCATACTAATAATAAATAAGCAATAAGCAATAATGTAATTAAAACAAGCTCTTTCAATCTTTAAAATACAAAATAAATTAATAAATAACATGGCTAATAAGAGTCAGTGCGGATAATTAAGCGCAAATTTTGTAGATTTTTTTTAATCTACCAAACTTGCTCTCTTCTTAACCCTGTTGTTTATTGGTTTTTTTTTGTATTTTAAATAACTCTCAAAAAATAGAATAAAATAGAATAAAAGAACTCGCAATTTACGAGCAAATTACCCTCCCGAATATTCAGTTTACCTTTTACAAACCTTTTACACCTTAGATTGGTGTCACACATCAATCTACATCTC